TTTACTATTTAATAAATAAAGAAATAAGCTTTATTAAAATTAAAACTGAAAACTATCTCAATTGATATAATTTATTTATTATTTGTATTAATTATATATATTATATAAATTATATTGAGCTCATTATCACTTTATTTCTTGAGTATTTTTTTTTAATTTTCAATATAGTCACTTTATTTGCAATTAAATTATTAGCAAGAGTTTATATACAAATTGAGAAATTAATTATAATTATTTACAGTATCTATAATTTATTTTAATTATTATTCAGCAAGTTTGGCTCTTTCTTATTGCATTATTTTTATTATTTTTTATTCAACTTTTAATAAATTATTATAATTAGATTTATATTTAATATACTCATTATTAACTAAATATCACATTAATAATTTAAATTAGAGCTCTTCATAATCAATAAAAAAAATTAATAATAATATATTATTAAAGAAGCTGATCAAGTAAAAAACTCACTAACTTATAATTCAATATCAAAAATAATTTAAATTAAAAATCTTTATCAATTAGAAAATGACTATATTCCAAAACTATTATTATTATTATTATTATTAAGAATAATTATATTAATCCAGCCATAAAAAAATAAAACTAGTTAGAAATAAATTTAAACTTGAATATTTTAAACTAGTAATAGAAGTTACAATTAGTTATAACTATGTTATAATTCTCTGATTAACTGCTGTAACTCTGTTATAATTCTTTAATTATATGTTATAAGTTATAACTAATTGAGATATTATTTTTATTTCAGATTCTTCAATCTTATAGTTAACATAATATAATTGATAAAATAATAAATCAGCTAAAAAAACTAAGAATTATTAAATTATTTAAACTAATTGAATTATAAATTACTTCTAGTATAAATTAATATATAATATTATTATATTAATAAAATATAATAATTATCTAATTGCATTATTATAATAAGCTTTAATTATATCTAAAAATTTTTACAATTTTTAAATAATTTTTTTTTATTAAAATATAAATAAAAAATATATTTGTTATTACAATTATAATTAATTATATTTTTATAATTTTATAATTTTATTAAATAACTTATTATATATAATAATTAACAGAATTATTAAAATAAAAATAATTAATATTTTAATATAAATATTTTTTGAATTTTATAAATTTAATTTGATAAAATTTTAAATTTAAAAATTTAGTAAAAATTTAATTAATAAAATTACAAATATAATTTTAATTACTATATATTTTTGAATTTCTTAATAAAATATAGTCAGATCTCTCTAAATATATATTCTATAAATGCATAAATTATATAAATTCTCTCTAAATATATAGTATAGCTTGGTTTCAGCTTATAAGAACTCTATATATTTTGCTTTTTATAAATGCACACTCTTTTTAAATGCACTTTTTATATTTTTTTACTATAATTTTATAAGAAATACACTTAGAAAAATTTGACTATATAATAAAAATAAAATATTAAAATTATTATTTTTATTAATAATTGAATTTATTTATATTACTAATAATATATTATATTATATTGTAATAATTTTTGATAGTAATTATTCACTAATTTAATATATTAATTATATTTTTAAATATTTTTTAATAATTTTTTAAATATATAATTATATAGAAAAAGTTTTGTATAATTAAATATTTTTTTATACTTTACAAATTTTTTTAAAAAATAAAATTTCTTGAAATTTTTTGATAACTGATTTTACTTGATGTTAATTAGTAATTTTATAATTAAAATACTTTTTATATTGTACTATATATAATATAACAAAATTTCAAGAAATAACATATTTTAAAAAAATTTTTTTAATTATTTTATTAATTAATGTCAAATAAAATCAATTTTAATAATATCAAAACATTTGATAGATTTTTGTATATTTTTATATTCAGTTTTAAAATTTTTATGTATTTTTTAAATTGTACTAAATATAATACAAAATCTAAGTCCAATCTATTAATAAATATTTTTTATTTGGTATTAAAATAAAAATAAAATTTATATTTAACATTTATTTTTTCAAAAACTTTTTTAGTATAATATATATTATTATATTATTATATTAAATAATTGATTATATTATAATTTTTTAAATAATAATATAAATCACAAATTAAAATAATTTATTATATTATACTTAATATCTAATTATTGTCAATTAATTTTATCCCTATATAATTTGACAAACTAGTAAAATTAAACTCATTTTATTAATATGATTTTTAACTATTTTTATCAATATAGTTTTTCCACATTAAGAATATGATGAAAATTATGTTATTTCTCTAATTTACATGAAGTATAATAAAAAATGTGTACTTAACTCAAAAAAATTATTTTTTCATAACTTGAAATAATTGTTATCTTTTATTGTTAAAATCAAATTAGTGTTTTTAGTCTTAGAAAAAATCAATTTGGTCAATTTTATTTCTTAATGCTTAAAATTTCTTCTAGTAAAATTCTTCTAATAATATTATTTAAAAAGGATCTCATCCACTCTAAAAATGATTGTCGGACGCCTTCATCTGCAACACTAATTGATCCAGTTGTCTTAATCAAAATTTTGCTATACTCTATCGCTCCTCGATAACCAATTTACTAATGCAAATGTAAAACATCTTCCTAATGGCCAACTATCTTATTAAAATATAAAGTGAAAAATCACCATACGTAGAATGTCTAATCCTTCTATTCTAGATATCACCCCTATAACTAAGAAATTGATAGTTCCACAAGAACTTACACAAAGAAACTGACAATCAGTCAAAATGAGGTTAACAATCCATTCTTTAATCCTGGTACCCGCTCCAGTAACTAATAAAGGACTGGACAGTAAATTTCTCTCAATAAACAATGCGGATACATGTAGTAATTTGTAACTAATTCCATTCATCTTACGCAATTCGATTAGCAGCAAGTTTTAAGTCTTGAATCACCGGCTAAGCGCTCAACCACTCTCTCAAAAGTTAACTTGCTCCAGTTAATCCATTGTCCCAAAACTAAGTCACTCAAATCACTTCTAAAGATTTTCGATTCTAAAACTTTGCCCAAGATTATGACTGACAGAAAATACTCGCCGCTAATGTTCCAGCAGCTCCACCTCAGAAAAACGTGTCCTCAAATCTGATGCTTCTGCTGCAAAGCCTTAACAGCAAATCTGGGAACAAATGAGTAATTTCAAACATGGAAATTCCAAAATTTAAATATCTTTTGATGATTCTAATAATGATGTTGCTGAGGCCTGTATCTTCTGAAATTTCAGGAATTTTAAAAAGATTTTCAATCAACTATGAAACTAGCATTAGTGTTAGATATCGATATTTACGAAATACCGATACGATACATACAGAAAATCAGATCCAAATCATTGTAACACATCACATCATCATAGGCAGGCGTTATCATTGTCGTTATACTACTACCGCTACTGTATATATTACTTTGTGAAATGACATATTTGTCTTACCATTACGAATATCCATCCAAACATAGTACGTACGTACGTATATGTACGTAGAACAGTAAAATATTTTCTTTCTCTAACGTTAGGTTTTAACGTTGACGTTATCCTTTTGTTGATCATTCACAGACCGACCAGAAATTCTCGCACTAAGCAAAAAAATAAAAATGCCAAAGCAATCTGATTTATGGCGTATCTGCTGCCAAGATTTTGGAAAACTTCTTGATGAACAAATTAATTGTGACGTCTTTATTAAAGTTGGAAGACAGGCAGAAATATTCAAAGCGCATTCTCTTATTCTCACGGCCCGGTCATCGTATTTCACCGGTGCTTTCTCACAAAACTGGGTAAAGAAAGATGAGGGAATTTATCATTTGTCAATGCCAAATATTGCTCCACGAATATTCGAGATTATATTAAGGTAATGTTCCCGGAAATTTGACTCGTGTTGCCAGCTAAAGTTATTAACATGTTAATGTGTAATATTTAGGTACATTTATACTGGATATGCGCCAACAGCACAAACTATCATGAATCCAGGTGATATGTTTGCCGTTTTAAAAGCGGCCGATGAACTTTTGATGCAAGATTTGATAGATTTTGTTGGTGACGAAATCGAAGACGATTGGATAAAGGAGAATGTTGATGTTGCAATTCAAAGCATTATGCAGTATCCATTGTGGAAGTCTTTGCGTGCACGATGTTTTCGGGTATTTTGTATCGATACCGGTGATTTCCTTCGATCGAATTCGCTACCTCTTGTCGATGAAAGCTTTTTGAAAAGACTCCTTAAATTGGAGACACTCTCCGTTACAGAAATAGAAATCTGGGATGGATTGGTTCGGTGGGCTCGTGGTCAACTGGAAGATCTACCAAACAGTACTAAAAAATGGTCAAAAAATCAGATGAGTGACTTTGCAGATATAATCGAAAATTTTCTTCCACTAATAAGATTCCACGAGATTTCGCGACAAGACATCAACGACAAAGTCCTACCGTATAAGGATAGCCTTTCCTATAAAGTACGTAATAAAATTATTGATTTAACATATTGTTCACCGAATACCCTGTTCGCAACACCTCGATTTATGGATAGTTCAGCGATCTTATCGTCCGAGGAAATTGCACAGATCTTAAGTTGGATTGATGATGGAGAACTTGGATCAGTTCAAGTTTATGAATTGAATGAGATCCCGTACTATGTGAGATTATTGATAAGAGGAACACGGGATGGATTCGAAAGCAAGACATTCACGAAAAAATGCTTGAACAAAAAAAACTGCATTCTTGTGATGCGAGTAAGCGAAACAGATGAAATTATTGGCGGATACGCTCCCAGTGGATTTGCACGTAATAGCACGAAAGATTTCCCACATTCCTTTTTGTTCTCGTTCGGCGACGATGGCGAAGAGAAACCTAAACGAGGGCTCCCTTATGTTCCTGATAACGAAGAGCAATTTGTTGATGATGATGAAGTAAATTATGCTCTTGCATTCGATACTAAGTTCAGCAATGATGGGCCAAGATTCGGAAATGGTGATTTGTGGATGAGAGGAAATTTCGATGAGGATAGGAGCTGTATATGCCAACCGAACGATTATCGACCAATTACAAGAACCACACATTTCTCTGTGGACGAGTATGAAATATTCCAGCTATTACCGTTTGATCGATACTATTGTGTATAATCAATCAATCAATTTAAGTAATGACATTGTCCAAAATTAGAAAATTAAAATTTTATTTAACTTCTATTTGATAGCGATAGATCCTGTCCTGATTGTGTGAAGAATAAATCTTTTCATGAATAGAAAATTTTCACTTGCTGCTCAAGGATAAAGAAAGAGACTTTAAATTGAAAACTTGGGGCAAACATTATTGGGATTGAATCGAACTGCCGTATCTTTTTCTCATTCTCTCAATCTACTTTCTTTGTTACACGTTATTCGATACTCTGACTTTACAAATTCAATAAATTTTTCATAAAATTCACTGAAGCTCTCACGCTTCACGGCTATATTGACTGACCATGGTTAATAATAACGTTCTGTGTGTGCGTACGTATTTTATTTTGTCTAAACATTTATAGGAAGCTGTTCAGTTTATGCTACGATATTTCAAGTTTTGTCTGTATACACACAAATATCAAATATTAACAAATTTTGTTTTAATTTAGAAAATTAACATTAGCATTAGTTCTATATTTCAATTATTACCCACGGAAATCTAGGCAGAGGATTAAATTTATTCAATTGTTTGTGAAATTTGTGCCGATTCTTTGGGAAGCTCCTCTTACTCATGAGTTTCACCGATATAGCCGTTGTGAAAAAATCACAAGAGTTTATGTTGGAGGTTTCTCGAAAGGAACATGGAATATTTACGTTCCAACGGAATTGAACACGAACTATACGACAGCCAACGTTTAATTACGCTTTATTTTTACGTCATTATGATCCAAGTTGTATAAACTATGTATCGGTATCGGTATACAGTAGGTGCATGGTTAAAACAAAATTTGTATTATCCGACTAACGCTAAAAACCAACTGGATAAACGTAGAGCATTAGTGATATGCAGAATTTTATTAACCGAATCGGCTTCTTTACGTTCTTTGACTACTAGTTTTGAAATAGACCAGGAATTCTGGAATTTGATCCCTAAAGAGTATTCAGCACAAAATTTATTTGGAAATCTCAAGGAACTGAATGTCTCTGGATTTTCATTAGATAAAAATCACCAAATGTTTTTTGAAAATTTAGCCAATGCCTGCCATTCGATCCTAAGAATCACATTATACGATAATTATTGTGAATTCGCAGCTGTAGAAAAAAATACAATTGAAGCATTGCGACACATGATGAAAGCACAAAATGAATTACAATGGATCTAGCTATATCATTTATCGAACATCGCGACCAAAGTTACTTATTTCTAAAGAACTTGCGAGCTATTGAATTTTTCTGTATCAACTTTGGTTGTTTTAGTACCGATGATACAATTCCAGGATCTGTCTAAGGTTTTGTCTGTGTACACTCATGTTGGGTAGAAATGGCTCAAAGATTGGAATATTTCTTAATTCATTTTACTCGGGAGGAATTGCCAGTTAATCTGACAGAAGAAATTGATTGTTAAAGCTAGTGGTAATACTCTTCAATATCTTTGTCTGAAACCGCATTTTTACGCTGAATATTATTATAGCTATTACATTGACAAGATATTTCCTTTAGTTATCTTAAATACTCGCAATCTCCATACAATCGATTTGTTTGATCTGGTGAAAGCAATCTGTCTACTTTAATGGAATCATATCCGAATATTTACCATCTGGACTTGTACACCAAAATATTTAGATGATATATTTAATATTCTTGCAAGAGCTTCACTTCAACCTACAATTATATCTCTAAGACTAAACACTCAAATAGATCGAGAATTTCAAATATCGGATGAGTCATTTATTTACTTTCTGGAGGTTACCCATGATAGTTTAGAGTACCTTGTTTTCAATGAATCTCATGAAAAGTTGATCGAGAGTTATGGCATCAACTTAGAAGAGTCATCTATGATGGAAATTAGTATGTAGTTATTTATTTATTTATTTCGTTTTGAATTTAATCTAATTTATCTTGTTATTTCTAAGTTATTTTAGCGCTCAAAGTACATGTATATGATATGTTATGCGTCGTTTCGGAATTCACTTCAATTCCAAATTGGCGTGGAATTCTATGTTAATTTTAATAGCATTCATTATATTTAATATATCATCCAGATTTACTTAGTAAACTTTAACCTGATTTAAAGGACACGAATATCCGTGTGAAATTTCCAGAGCCCCTACATAGCGCCTCTTACATTATTTAAAATCTTATTTTTGTTATATTATATTTATATATCGATCGATACATGAAACACAACAGAATCGAGATCCTTGTATTAAGAAAACGAAAGAAACATTAATTTCTCAATATTTATTTTTACTAGAATCAATTTAAGAGAAACCACAAATTCATGATGGACACTTCCAACAAAATAAAGAATATCGCTGTTCTTTGTTTAAAAAAATGGTAGCTCTTTAATTTTGAAGTTTTGATTTATTTAAGAGTCGAAAATCACGAAATCGATATTAATTTTTTTTCATGAGCTATGAGGCTTAATCCCTGTTCTTGATTTACCCCCGTCTTGATTTGGATCAATTTATAAAGCAGCCTGGTTGAACGGATAATTGATAGGTATCATAAATATAAACGAGATGGAGAGCGCAAAGTTGCGTTGAAATCATTACAAATTCAAAGCAAATTACATAAACGAGGTAGAATGAACACCTTTTAAAGTGTAAAAAATATTACTTTTCTGTTTTTTAATATAATTAATTAACGTTTCAAGATTAGATTCAGACTGTTCTCGTAGTCTTATTAAATATTATGAAACGAATATTAACTTATGCAAAAAATGGCAATCCACGCCGATATCGATACTGATATGAATTCTGAATTGACTTGAAACGAAAATTTAGTTCTATTATCATAGGATTTAATAAAGTAATGAAGAATTTGTACATCTTAACCTTCACCCTGAAAATATATTAATGGAGCTTAAAGCTGTTCAAATTGCTGAGTTTGGACTTATCAGTTCAGGCCAGCTAATTTAAATAAAATTAACCAAGAAATTTGCAGAACTCTTCTTTATATAAGTCCAGAGTTACTAAATGGGAAACTAGACACTAAGGCTGCAGATATTTATACTTTGGGATGGTTATGTACGAGGTCGTCACAGGTGAATGACCATTCAGTGTGCAAAGTCATGGTAAAGATATCGTGTTAGACAGATATGAAAGAGTACGACTTATACTAAATAACCTTTCTGAATAGTGCAAATTTATTATTAAAAAATGTCGGGAACCTATTCCAGAAAACAGAACAACTGCTTAGGAACTTCTTGACTTTATCGACTCTATCTGGAAACAATATTCAGATGTACTGAATACTTTGCATTTATTCTTTAAACTATCCTAAAACACATAAAACTAAAGAGTATTTTAAACTAGAAACGCAAAAATTATATAAGCATAAATATAAATATTGTAAAAGAAGAGTATGTAGAGTTAAGAAGAGTATTGAACTAGAAAAGCAACGATTAAATAAACTTGATGAGATGAAATTACAAACAAAAACAACAAATACACCAAAATGCAGTCTACATCGAATCTTTACTACAAATTGATTTTAATTCCAACTGATACAGGTACTTTCTACAGTATTTGATACAAATCATATTGACATTTCATGGATATTTAGGCTCTACAAGTGTCTGTTTGTATAATGAAATCAACGAGGATGAAACTATCTCGAGCTCTTTTTAAGAACTATAACTTTATAATAGTAAGTTTACAAGATGATCTTGTAATTCTTAAGATATCTTATTTTAAATTTATTGCAGTTTTACACCACATAAATGCTCTTTGAATTCTAGAATTTTGAATACTCAATGCGTTTTTTATCAGGCACGGGAATACTATAATAAGTATAGTAAATGTACTCATTGCCATTCATTTGAATATCATAAACTGTCTATTAAAAGAATGCGAGAAAAATCAGTAGAATACGTATCTTGCAAAAGGAGATTTTGGAATAATTATAAAGAATTACATCCATGACAAAAAGTGAGATCTGACGAAAATATAAATGCAAAGTTGTGTTAAAATTATTATACAATTCAAAGCAAAATATATGCGTTATCGTTATATAATCATATTAAAGGGATAAAAAAATTAATTATTTAATCAGCTAGCATCAAAAAAAATTAGATTAGAACAATTATAATGCACCAATATCTTCATCCTTCCCCAACCCGAAAACATCATTTGAAGTCAGCAAGTATAATCCTAGTCATATGCTACTCAATTATAATGAAAAAAACATGAGAATCTAAGTTATTTATTTGATGTTATTATGTACATGTACTGTGACTGTATTACCAAATTGCTAAGTAGACTGAAAAAGTAGCTTAAACATACAGCACTGGATAGCATAAGATATCCAATTTTAATTGCCTTACAAAAGTGTTATTGCTTTTGAATAAATTGTTAAATAAAAAATCTTTCTTCCAAATTAAATAGTTCTTTAGTAAAATTACATTTCTGGAGGAATTTTTTTTATTTTTATTAAATATTGTCTACTTTATATGTGAGTTGAAAATTTGGTGCATGCTTATACAAAGTCTTATAATTTTTGAACCAAGAATTAAAATAAAAAAATTCTTTTACAAATTGATAGCTCTTTAGTAAAGCTACCACTTGATAAGAAAAACTTTTTTTATTTGTTTTAGTTTTGAAGAAATTATAAAATTTTAGTTTCATAAATTGATACTGAAATACATGTATTACACAATTATTTGATTGGCTAGCATTAAGTCATGTAATAGAGCATCATCTTTATTATACAAACACATTCAGAAAAAATATATTAAATAGAAATGACATCGGTAAATTCTATAAAAATTCTAACTATGTGACATTTCACTTATCGGTGAAAATTAGAACACTTATAGTACGGGACAGTATAAGATATCCACTTTTTATAAAAGTGCCAAATTTTGATAGTCATTATATAGTATCTGAAAAAGATGTGAGTAACTGTTATCTTTGTGTGAAGTTTCGTGTGATTTTTGTATTACGCTATCTTGATATGTA